ACTGGTGAGGCTGCATTGATGGGCATTGGTGGGGCTGCACTGATTGGCACTGATGTGGCTACACTGATGGGCACTAGTGGGTCTGCACTGATGGACACTGGTGAGGCTGCACTGACGGACGCTGTTGAGGCTGGACTGATGGGCACTGATAAGGGCGCACTGATAGGTGGCACTGATAGGCACTAATGAGGGGGCCTGATGAGGCTGCACTGATAGGTGGCACTGATTGGAAGTGGTTAAGCAAGCTAGTAGTAGCAGTACTTGTTTGATAAGAGACTGTGGTCTGCTGCCCTGGATTAAGGAAGCTAGTACTAATTTGCCTAATCCAGGGCAGTAGGCCACCATCTCTTCTTATCAAATGAGTGCTGCTCCTTCTAGCTTGCTTAGAAAAAGGTCCAATGACAGTCTCTTCTCTTGCTGAATCCAGGGCAGGTCAGCAGGGTTTCTGTATGTCTCACCATGCCAGCTTGAGTCTTGCCATTACCTCCACCTGACACAGCCAGACAGACTGCAGGAGGTTCCAGTCCTCAGCAGCGGTGCCGCTCTCCCGCTCTGCACAGCCCCTTCCTCCGCCCTTGCGATTTATCCAGGCGAGTCCACGGCACAGCAAGCTGACAAGCTGGATCTCTCCACCACGCACTTCCAGGGCTGTGGGCAGCGGCAGTAGGATCTATAAACTAAGCATCAGAAAATGCGGAGGCTGCCCCTGTGGGTCCAAAATAAAAAAAAAATCCCAAAAGTTGCCGGCCTGCTATTAAATGTCCCACCACACATTACATTTAACAAAGCATAAATCTGTGTGAAACGCGTCGTCCTAGCAATCAGGACTTGTTGTGGTTGGCCCCAGGCACTTTGGCTTCTCTGCCCAACGATCACCATTCATCCACCGGTTTCTGCGCTCCACTGACGTCACTTCCGGTGCGCGGTGACGTCACTTCCAGTGATGGTGTGAACCTCCTGCGCTCAAAACAAACAAAAAAAATATATAAACCAAGAGAAGCTGCTAACATTAAATCATATACCAATGAATATGTGAACTAATAAAATGTAGCACTACTCATATAAAATATTTATCCGTGTATAAACCCACAATATGTGTATCAAATCATAATTATAATAATATATAACTTATCATGTAATATATCGTATGTTTTTTTTTAAACAATGAACTGGTTGGCTTAAATTTACGGGTCTGTGGAATACGGCATCTGCTGTGCGCAGCGTTTGATCTTGTCTGGAGAGGAGCCATTATTGGAGTGCTGACCCTTAGAGAGAGTTGTGTATGCAGTGGGAACAAATCTTTGGAGTGACAACCGTCCTGAAGGATCTGTGAGAGGGATCCTTTTAAGTGTTTTGACCCGCAAGGGTCGAAGTTTTAAGGTGAGAGGCTGATCTAGCCGGTGGTCGGATATTTTGTCAACAATCAACCCACTGTCACACAAATATCAGCAAGAGTTTTGGATTGGAGTGTGATCATCTATGTGTTTGGACTTTATAAGCACAGAAATATATAATTTTCGTGTTGTGTGTTGTTGCACTTTTTTCACATGTATGCACATTGATTTTCACTGAATGGGGGGTATTTATGGATACACGTGTGTATTGATGTACACGTTGGTTCATATTTATATATATATATATTCCTGTAGATGCACTAATATATTTTTTGGAATTGATTATATATTATATATTTCCAATAGTTGGAAATATTGACTTATTTATTTTTTATTTTTCATCACTATCACTGTTGAAATTTGTTTTGGGTTCACTGATCACTGGATTATATTTATTTGTGAAAATTTCACTTAAAAGGTCACTTCCAGTGTGCAAGCTCTGGGGACATGAGAGGCAGTATCCTGATCTGTGAGTGTTTCCTTCCCACAGTTGGCAACCTATCTTCCAGCAGTGCAGTCCACAGGATTTCTTTACCACCGCCTCCTGTAGCCTGGCCCGGTTTCACTTGTTCCCTCAGCAGTAAACCAGTTTTATTGCCTACATCACGGGTGTCAAACTGGCGGCCCTCCAGCTGTTGCCAAACTACAAGTCCCATGAGGCAATGCAAGATGGACAGTTAGAAGAATGGCTCCCAAAGGCAGAGGCATGATGGGACTTGTAGTTACGCAACAGCTGGAGGGCTGTCCGTTTGACACTCTTGCCCTACATCCATACACATGGGCTATACCACCCACCCTTGGTTTCATTTACATTGGATATATGACTGTGATTATTGGTTGTAATTTCTCTCACGTGGATAATAAAATCCTTCTTTTTTTTTTTACTCTGGATAACATTGCCATCATCTTTGCCATTTTTCAATACTTTACTGTTCACGAACAATTTGGCTTTATACCAATAGCACTCATTATCAGCTACATTACATTTGGCATGTTTTCTTACTTCATGTGGGCAGAGTGTGACAGAACTTGGTGGGCCCCCCCTGCCCTTGGGGCCCGTGTGGTCTGCACACTCTGTACACATGGATGATAGGCCACTGACTAGACGCAAAACATCACATCGACATTGTCACAGTTTCAGTGGAAGAACAGCAGACTTGACCCAGATACCTGAAGAACATGAGTCAGCTCAGGAAAAAACATTAACCCTTCAGTAGGGACCTGCCTACACACTTTGTTGATGCAAATGTGTCAAAAACTTACTGGAGAGTAGCAATTATGACAGTCTAATATCTCAAAATCTGTTTACAGAACAGAAAAAACTTCATATGAGCTAAGGAGTTCAAGAAAGCCTGACCAGAAACACATTCAATTCTTTGGAAGCAAAGCATACATATATATATATATATATATATATATATATATATATATATATAGAAAAGGGTACAAAATAGGAACTTTAGTCTAAGCATTGTACTGTATACACTCACCGGTCACTTTATTAGGTACAAATTGCTAGTGCCAAGAATATCTCCCCCACACCATTACACCACCAGCTTGAACCATTGATACAAGGCAGGATGGGTCCATGCTTTCATGTTGTTTACATCAAATTCTGACCCTACCATCTGAATGTTGCAGCTGAAATTGAGACTCATCAGACCAGGCAACATTTTTACAATCTTCTATTCTCCAATTTTGGTGAGCCTGTGAGAATTGTAGCCTCCGTTTCCTGTTCTTAGCTGATAGGAGTGCCATCCGGAGTGGTCTTCTGCTGCTGTAGCCCATCTACTTCAAGGTTCAATGTGTTGAGCATTCAAAGATGGTATTCTGCATACCTTGGTTGTAACGACTGGTTATTTGAGATTCAAGGACTACATTGGGGCATCTGTGTGGGCAAATTTTGCCCTTTTTTTGTCTGCTTTTAACCTCCTTAACATGTCTGCCTCTTCACTGCTCAGGAGCAACCAACTCGGGTGTTTATTTAACAACTTATAACAGTTGGTCACTATATTTTTTTTAATCTGGGACGAACAACGGCTTGGCGTTTGCTACCCAATTTGATCTGAGGTATTCTCGGACTGGTGGCTTCTCCCCGGTGTTCAGAAAATCTCCCTTTGTGTATCCAATCTCTACTGATCTTAATGTACATTAGCTGCTGCTATTGAACAGAGTGCTATCATCAACTGACATTTTTGCTCAATTTTTCCACTTTCCCTGAAGAAGTGGGTCACATCCCATGAAAAGTGTCGGATCTTTTGATTGATTATCCAGTTTTGGATTCAATTTTATGTAAAAGCAATTTTGGGTTCTAGTGGAATTGCCACCCTTCTCAAATTACACCCACCATGGTCCATCATTTGGGTAGTCTATATTAATTTATACATTTCTACTAATTACCGATGTTTTTCATACCTTTCATGTGAGCAATCGTTTTACCAGTTTGATGATGATCAGTTCTTTTGATGGTATCAATAGGATTTTAGGATTCTTGCCCGTGACGTCCTTACGTTCCGAGCCAGAGTCTTTGCCACTATTATCTCTTTATATTTTTGTTGACTCATTATGTATGTGCCTACATTGGCGTTTGTCTTACTTACCACTCTGTGTGGTTTTGTTTATAATGTCATAATAAAATATGCTCTATTTTATCCAATATTGTTCATGTTCATGCATCTTTATACCCACAATGGTATGGTACCTTAAAAGTCCCATTATTTTCTCCTACTAGGGTTTATTTTCTTCAGTGTTCCAATAGGGGTGTGGTACATTAAAAAACCTTCACACAAGGACAGGTGAGACCTAGTATCTCTCCAGCTCCCATCAATCTCCAATCTAAAAGGTTATTTGAGTTACTCTTGCCTTTCTATCATCTCAAACCAGTCTGCTAATTTTCCTCTGACCTCAACAAGGCAATTTTGTCCACACAACTGCCGCTCATTGAATACTTTCTCTTTTTCAGACCACTCTGTGTAAACCCTAGAGATGGTTGTGCGTGAAATCCCAGTAGATCAGCAGTTTTTGAAATACTCAGACCAGCCGGCCTGGCACTAACAACCATGCCAAGTTCAAAGTCACTTAAATCCCCTTTCTTCCCCATTCTGATGCTCAGTTTTGAACTTCAGCAGCTCGTCTTCACCACGTCTAGATGCCTAAATGCACTGAGTTACTGCCATGCGATTGGCTGATTAGCAATTTGTGTTACCAAGCAATTGAACAGGTGTACCCAATAAAGTTGCCGGTAATTGTATTTATCAACTACAGTGAGTCTCAAAAATGGTACGCATGTGTGCATTAGACATGTGCAACTCTGTTTAGATTTGTTTTTCGGACGAATATTTAATTTTCAGAGATTCGGATGCATCCGATTTTCCGAATGGTACCAAATCCAAAATAGGTCATAACCGCTTCCCAACTGCCCTATAGCAGAAATACTGCTACAGGGTGGCACGGGTGCGCAAAATCATGTATATATACATGATTTCGTATTTGGGTGCCCTACCCGCACCAATGTTCGCGGCTGCAGCTGTCAGTCACCTGCCGGTGATTACTGAGCATCCCCGACGGGGGAGGAGGACTGTTTTGTTTACTAACAGTTATCCTCCCTGTCAGCTCAGGCACACTGCTGTGGATGACTGTGTAGTGTGATTACAGTGAAGCACACAGACACTGCCCCCTAGTAAAACACTCCCAGCTCACAGTTGACCCTTTGATTGCCCCTCATGTTAACCCCTTTCTGCCCAGTGCCATTAGTACAGTGTCAGTGCTTTTTTTTTTTACCACTGATCACTGTATTGATATCATTGGGGATGTCAGTGACACCAAGTCAATTCCCCCCAGTATCAGAATGTCTGCTGCAGTCCCGCTATAAGTCGCTGATCGCCGCCATTTACTAGTAAAAAAAAATTCCAGTATCTATACCGCCATTTGTAACCATTATAACTTTCGGATAAACCAATTAATTTACACATATTGGGATTTTTTTTAGCAAAGACATGGAGCAGAATACATTTTGGCCTAAATTTATGATGAAATTTGATTTTTTAAATCTTTTTACTGGACAGGTTTAATAGCAAAAAGTCAAAAATATTGTTTTTTTCTCAAAATGGTCAGCCTTTTTTTGTTGATAGTTTATAGCAAAAAAGAAAAACGCACAGGTGATCAATTACCACCGAAAGAAAGCTCAATTCGTGGGAAAACAAGGACGTAAGTTTCATTTGGGTGCAGCATTGCATGACCACGCAATTGTATGTTAAAGTAATGCAGTGCCATAGAGCAAAAAAATGGCCTGGTCATGAAGGGGGGTAAATCCTCTGAAGGGCATGTGGTTAAGGAACGGCCAGCCGCCATGTTCCTAATAACCATGAGTCATCTGCTGTCAGTTGTATTCCACAAAAGAAGTGGTGGTTAAAATTTAGAAAAAAAAAATCACAATGGGGGTTCCTCCAATCTATACCAGACCCTTATCTGGGCATGCAGCCTGGCAGGCCAGGAAAGCGGGGAGGGACGAGCAAGCTCCCCCCCAAACCATACCAGGCCACATGTCCTCAACATTGGGGGTGCTAAAGCACCTTGCTCTCATGTTGATAGAGGGCTTTATTGGAATCTGGAAGCCCACTTTGACAAGGGGGCCCCCAGATCCTGGTCCCCCATGTGAATGAGTATAGGGTACATCATCCCGCCCCCAAAAAAAAAATGTGCGAAGTAAAAAAGACACAGGGACAGTTTTTGATAAGTCCTTCATTGAAAATGAAAAACAAAAAATAAATGCCCCTTGAAGTAGATCAAATAAGATAAGGGTCTGGTATAGATTTTGGGCAGACCCTATATAATTTTTTTTTTTTTAATTTTAGCGTGGGGTTCCCCTCAAAATCAATAGCAAACCCAAAGGGCCTGGTATGGATTGGGGGGGGGGGGGATCCCCACGCTGTTTTTTTTAACTGTCACTTCTTTTGTTTACATTCTGCTGTCAGCGGGGAATCCCAATGACGGCAGATGAGTCATGGTTATTATTATATCTCCTGATTTTATTTTATTATCAAAAGAAAACTGGCCCAAAAGAGTAAATAAAAAATATTTATTTTAAACTTAGCTGTGTGCTTCTTGTTATTACCATAACCTACCACCAAAGAACAACCCAAAATAAATTTTCTGGCTCCTGACGATCACAGCAATACCAATACAGAATGTGTATGTAATTTGTTGTTTGTACCCATAGTACAGCCCAGAAACAATAGCGCACATTTTGTTGGTTTTTTTTGTCCTACCTAAAACACTAACACTAACTGACACTGATACTAATTTAATTTTTTTTTTAAATCCTAACCTTTGACCCAAACACTAACCATGGCACTGGCCTAGATCAAACCTTGATCTAGCTATTTTATTTAATTTTTATTTTTTAATATTTATTTATATTTTTATTTTTTTTACACACTGTTTTTTTTTTATCTCTGCAAGAGAGAGAGAAAACTCGAGGATGGGCTTACCAGTGACAGATCACTGTGATAGCCAATCAGAAGCACAGTGATCATAATTACATAGTTACAAAGACAAACGTCCATCCTGTTCAACCATTAAAAAAAAAGTTATAATCCTATACCCACAGTTGATCCAGAGGAAGGCAAAAAAAACCCAGCAAAGCATGATCCAATTTGTTCCTGCGGGGAAACAAATTCCTTCCTGATCCCCCGAGAGGCAATCGGATATTCCCTGGATCAACTTTACCTATAAATGTTAGTATACGGTTATATTCTGTGTATCTAGGAAACAATCCAGGACTTTTTAAAGCAATCCACTGAGCTGGCCAGAATCAACTCTTGAGGGAATCTATTCCACATTTTCACAGCTCTTACTGTGAAGAAACCTTTCCGTGTTTGGAGATTAAACTTCTTTTCCTCCAGATGTAAAGAGTGCCCCCTTGTCCTCTGTGATGACCTCAGGGTGAATAGCTCTACACAGAGTTCACTATATGAACCACTGATGTATTATACATGTTGATCATATCCCCCCCTTAATCTCCTCTTCTCAAGAGAGAATAAATTCAGTCCCTCTAATCTTTCCTCATAGCTGAGCTCCTCCATACCTCTTATCAGTTTGGTTGCCCTTCTCTGTACTTTCTCCAGTTCCCCAATGTTCTTTTTGTGAATTGGTGCCCAAAACTGAACTGCATATTCCAGATGAGGTGTTACTAATGATTTGTAGTGGGTAATATGATATCTCTCTCTCTCTGGAGTCTATACCTCTTTTAATACAAGAGAGGATTTTGCTCGCTTTAGAAACCGCAGCTTGGCATTGCATGTCATTATTAAACTTGTGATCTACCAGAACCCCCAGATCCTTCCCCACCCTTGATTCCCCCAGTTGTACCCCCCCAGTATGTATGATGCATGAATATTCTTAGCCCCCAAGTGCAGAACCTTACATTTATCAACATTAAACCTCATTTGCCACATAGTTGCCCAATTATTGCCACATAGTTGCATCAGGAGTTCCAGGTTCTGGTTGTTAGCACAGGACCCAGGTCTCTCAATGACATTCTGGGAGCATGCCATGTGGTGCGCTCCCAGCACAAAGACAGATACTCAAATATGTGGCCCCATGGAAAAAAGCCCAGTTCTGTTTGGCCTCATATTCATGTGATGTCAGCGCCAAGGGGTTAAGGAAGCTGCGGCCGTCTGCGCCTTAGAAACCACAGCTTTTCACAATGATTCGGATCCAACCAAAGTTATACCGCGTGGATTAGAAAACTCATCCACCGGGTATAACGAATATATGAAACGTATCCCAAAAACGAACCGGACTGACACAAAGAAAACGAATTAACGAGATCATTAACCTAACGAATGTATCTGCAACTAAACAAATAGTTCTTGGAAAAATGGGAGCTGGAACTGGGAACAAAATTGAACGTGCAACAGAGGAATAGTTTATTTAAATTAGTACACGAGGTAACAAACATGAGCACGGTGAAAATGAATTATAAATGTGTGGCTAGATGGTACATCACACTGAGTAAAGCACATAAACAATAAGTAGATGTTTCACCTTTATGTTGGAGAGGTTGTGGGGAAAAGGGCACAATGGCACATATATGGTGGGAATGCCCAAAGATACAAGAATACTGGGAGGGAGTATTACAATGTATCCAGGAAATATGTGGGATTACCGTCATATCGAGGAGGATAAAATTGAACAATTTAGGAAAATGTGGAGTGGTTGGTTGGTCTTTAAAACAACTAAAAGATATTTGGAATTGGTCAGAATAAAAGTGGAAGAGTAATGGGGGGAATATTAAAGGATTATGCAGGCCATAGATGGGTCGAAAATCGGCCGATTTTCGGATCGTTAGTGGGCCAATTGTTCGGCCGTTTTTCGGTATTTTGGCAGATTTTTTTTATCAGTAAAGTTGGAAAAAAATCGGCCGATTTTGCCGATTTTTCGCGTCAATGATGGAAAAATCGGCCGATCTTTTTACCGATAAAAAAAATCTGCGCATGAGCAGTGACCTGCAAGAGGAAGACAAAAGAAGAAGAAAAAAGAAGAGGATGAAGAAGAAGAACAAGAGGATGAAGAGGATGAAGAAGAGAAGAGGATGAAGAAGAAGAAGAGGAGGAGGAGGAAGAAGAAGAGGATGGAAGAAGAAGAGGATGAAGAAGAGGATGAAGAAGGATGAAGAAGAAGAGGATGAAGAAGAGGAGGAAAGAAGAGGAGGAGGAAGAAGAATAGGATGAAGAAGAGGGAGAAGAAGAGGATGAAGAAGAAGAGGATGAAGAAGAGGAGGAATAAGAAGAGGAGGAAGAAGAGGAAGAAGAAGAAGAGGAGGAAGAAGAAGAATAGGATGAAGAAGAGGAAGAAAGAAGAGGAGGAAGAAGAGGATGATGAAGAAGAGAAGAAGAAGCTGAAGAAGAGGATGAAGAAGAAGAAGGATGAAGAAGAAGAGGAAGAAGCTGAAGAAGAGGATGAAGAAGAAGAAGAAGAGAAAGAAGAGAAGAGGATGAAGAAGAAGAAGAGGATGAAGAAGAAGAAGAGGATGAAGAAGAAGAAGAGGATGATGAAGAAGAGGATGAAGAGTAAGAAGAAGAGGATGAAGAAGAAGAGGATGATGAAGAAGAAGAGGATGATGAAGAAGAGGATGATGAAGAAGAAGAGGAGGAAGAAGAAGAAGAAGAGGAAGAAGAAAAGAAGAGGAAAAGGAAGAGGAAGAAGAGGAAGAGGATGAAGAAGAAGAGGAATTCCAGTCTGGCAAAAAGTGTCCCTGCAGAGAGCTCCGCTATTTCTTTGACAGTTTCTTGACATTTATAGCGGTTGCAACAATGTATCTATTTGTTTCCGAATAAAAACATCTGTATCCTAAATGGATACAAATACATTGTTGCAACCGCTATAAATGTCAAGGAACTGTCAAAGAAATAGCGGAGCTCTCTGCAGGGACACTTTTTGCCGGCTGTAGACGGGATGAAAATCGGCCGATTTTTTTTACCGTTGCTGGTAACGTCGGCCGCTTGAACGACTGATTTTTTGTTTTTTTAAAGAAAAATCAGCCGATTTTCGACCCATCTATGGCCTGCATTAGATATAGATCAAAAATTATGAGAAAGGTCAGAGATTAGGATCAGGTGTGGATTAGGTAATGGTGGGGGGG